CAGTTAAAATACAACTGAATTTAACTAGCATTATATCAGGAATTAGTAGGTCACCAATGAATAATTCTTTTTAAAAGTAACTTTATTTTTAAAAAACAAAACCAAAACACAAATAACTTTATATTTTTTTTTAAAGAAAAATATTTTGTATTCTGTGTCTGAAAAACATTTTAAGATGATAAATAGAACCCAACAGTCACCGTATGTCTGAGCTGTAGGCAGAAATATGTAGGCATTTAGACATAATTTGTGCTCACTGTTTAAAGCTAAACGTCATTTTCATCTTACATGCCGGGTAGCTCAAACACAGAGATCGATTTTTATTAATGATAACATTTCTATTGATCATTTCCCGATGTTCGTTTTTAGCGGGGCGCGTGTCAGTCTGAATGGACAGACAAATTCATATTTTTGAATATAATTTCCTGTATCTTTTACACGGATTGCTGCTATTACTATAGAAATACTTGTAACCAATGAAAATATTTCTACGTGTTTAACCCCTTAACCAGGAATAAAAAAATAGTTTTATAATTGGAGCACAGGAGAGAAAAAGATCTGAGGAGACAAGGAAAACGGGTAAACTTGCAAAATTAACATCTTGGTAAAATCCAATCGAACTATCATTGACTAATACTGCTCATCAAAGTAAAAAAGCCTCATCTACATCCTCTATTGGATCCAGCCATCTAGTTCCAGACAATACCATTACCTATTTCCTCTGCTGGGGAAATTGTAAAAATTGAAACACACAAAGCTGTGTCAGAAAACGAGAGCGTGTGATTCACCACACAGATCCCGCGCTATGGAATATTAAGAACACGTGTACAGTTGAGTACTGAATGCCGTGGGCCATCATTGTGTCAGAATCATGACTGCAACCTTTCAAACTCATTCAGAGCTGGAGAAGAAAGAACAAAGACAAGGTATTTATCAAAAAGTATGTTCAAACGTGAACTGCGGAATGGCGAGTATGTAAAACTTGAATGGCTTCTCTATTCACCATACCAAGGTGGTTTGTATTGTTTTGCGCTCGTCTATTGTCCAAAAAAAGTATTTCCCTTTGCTATATCAGGACTAAGTACTGGAAACATAACAATCTAATTGTAGAACATGAAAATGGAGTAGTGAATCGCAAGGACATGACTGCATATTTTCTTCCACTGAAACTGAAAAAAGCTAGGTGTTTAGGTCCTTTATTAATCAAAGACTATATTATAGGTGAAAACAGAAGTACTGACATAACGTTCTGAGTCATGGGGTTTATGTCGTTAGCTGTCTTGCCTCCTGAGGTTTGGGTCAAACTATTGTTTACGCCCCTCCCCCCACTGTTTTAGCATGGGGCGAGTGCCACACTTCGCACCCCCTTCTAACGACCCTGGTATGTTGTGTTGCTGGGGGCCCCACTGCATTGCTGTGCCCAGGGCCCCCTATGTTCTTAAGACGGCCCTGACTGTGTGGGTCAATCAAACCAGTGGTGTAATGAAACCGGTTACGGGAAACCGGTTGTAGAATGTTGACTATTCTATCGAACAAGTTGTTTCAAAAATGTCAAAATAAATAGAAATTAAAAATTATACTAATCAAATAATTTTTAAACTGAAAATTGAATTTGTCATTCTTCTGGTATTTAGTATGAAGCTAGCCTGCCAGCGAAAACAATGGATTTGCCAAGTACCAAAATGGCTTCTGCATGATTGGAATCACACCGATGATCCAAAGTCTTAGAAGGACGGCGAATTTAGATTCAAGTCCTGGTCTGGAATTCCCAAAATTAAAACCATAATATAATCATTTGAGGACTATTGGTTTCTGCCTACATCGTGGGCGGCAACCCACTGCTCTGGAAGCAATAGGTGGCTTTTTGTTATACTAAACCGTAATGACATGCGCCTCACAAGCATCTTCTTAGCGGATATACTTTTGACATAAAAGCTCCTCAAACAAAATTCAACGACCCCGTGCGTTAATATTATTGCAACACACTACCTGCTGTCAATAAATGGTCGTATTTTGTGATGTATTTTATATTCTTCCTTTTAACTTCGCTTTTGTGTTTTCGTTTGTTTCAAGTCAAATGAATCTCATTACGTCAGCATCTGTAGTTTTTTTTTGTTTCTACTTCAAGTATCAGAAATCGTCACAACGAACATATAGAATGGGTTTTTCCTGGCTGCAGGAGTGATCACACATGTTCACTCATTAGGGGTTTGCACCAATGTTCCCTCTAAGGTTTGCTGGTTCGTGTGCAAAATCATATAGTTGTGTGCAAAGTTTTACAGCATCAATTTTTCTGTGTGCAAAATTTTACAGCCCACAAACACACACTTACATGAAAATTTGCTGCGCGGATACTCAAAACTGCTGCGCGGCGTCTGTGAGTTAGCTACGCAGCCGCGCAGCTTATAGGGAATATTGGTTTGCACCAATGTTCCCATTCTGGTTTGCACCAATGTTCCCATTCGGGTTTGCAACAATGTTCCCATTCGGGTTTGCAACAATGTTCCCATTCGGGTTTGCAACAATGTTCCCATTCGGGTTTGCACTAATGTTTCCTTTAGGGGTTTGCACAAATATTCCCTATCATATTTTATTGTAATTTGACGCACAGAGTCATGAACCAGAACATTAAAGAAATTTACAGAAAGCTTTATTCTAAAGGCTTTTGTCATCAACGCAATCATACAAAAATACTTATTATGCGTTGGGTAAGAATCTTACTAAGATAATTGGGTACATAGCCTTTGGCTATACTATGTCTTAAATGTCCATCACTACGTATGCCTAAAATGTCGATCGCTATCTATGCCTAAAATTTCAATGATTATATATGCCTAAAATGTCCATCAATATACTACATATATGCCTAAAATGTCCATCAATATACTACATATATGCCTAAAATGTCCATCAATATACTATATATATATGCCTAAAATGTCCATCAATATACTACAAATATGCCTAAAATGTCCATCAATATAGTATATATATATATGCCTAAAATGTCCATCCCTTTCCCATTGAAATATTTATTGAATGCGATATCACCAATTAAGTATTTTTTTAAACATTTAATATATATATATATATATATATATATATATATATATATATATATATATATTATAACTATTTTTAACATAATTGATTCGTTTTACTTTGTATTAGTTTAATTATTCAATTTAAATTTGTGTCTATTCTCGATGTAAACTTTATTTATAGTTGATTGTTGTTTGACAGCTCATAGTGTACATCTTGACATGCATCCATTGTTAGACCAGATTGATCAAAGAATCCTTTTAGTTACTCTAGGAAACATGTAAGTACAAAAAAGTGTATAGAAATGCTCAATGCCGGTAATGTATAAATATTGTGATCTGCCCATTCGGTAATTTGTCAAACATTCATCCTTTGCTTTTGTAGTTGACAATGGTCATGGAAGATTTCAAACTGTTTTGTTCATTAAATGCTTTGTTTAATGGGGTCTGCAACCTGATACCGTTCGGAAAATTCGTGGAGAGTATTTTTATGTTCCCGGAAATGACGCACAAAAATGGGCAGATACTCTTGTTGTGTTTGAAGTGGAAACTCTAGATTCTTAACAAGAAGTGATTAACATGCCCCTTCTAACCAGTTTAAAGCTCAAAGTTCAAAGTAAAAATACAGACGATTTAAATTTTCCAACTCAATGACTCTAGCCTGCTAATGGTAGTGGTAGTGCTAGTGGTAGTGCAAGTGGTAGTGCTAGTGGTAGTGCTAGTGGTAGTGCTAGTGGTAGTGCTAGTGGTAGTGCTAGTGGTAGTGCTAGTGGTAGTGCTAGTGGTAGTGCTAGTGGTTCTGCTAGTGGTAGCACGGTACCAGGGTTCCCAAAAGTTGATCTTAAAATATCTTCGCCGTTAAGGTCCGTATTTTTTTTTTATTATGTACTCTTATAAGATAAAATGAATCAAAACGGAAAATCTTGACTTCGATGACGTCCTCTTGCGTGCTTTACACTTGTGTGATCACTTGTGTGGTCACTTGTGTGTTCACTTGTGTGATCATTTGTGTGCTCACTTGTGTGATCACTTGTGTGTTCACTTGTGTGATCATTTGTGTGCTCATTTGTGTGATCACTTGTGTGATCACTTTGACGAGAAACTCCTACTTGCTGAAAAATACCACATATTAGACTAACACTAAATATGGGCTCGTGTCTCTTGGTCAACTGACAAAGAATCTCTCACACCAGAATGGTTCATTATAAAAAAAAACAAAAAGATGCTGCATTTCATTTTCCCCAGCGACACATTCCCACAGAAAATGTTTACATGTGTCCATTAGACCATGACGCGGTAGGAAATGGAAGAGTGGAATGATTCAAGGTAGGGCATTCTACGGCACGCTTGCTTGACGTGACTCGCACAACCACTTCCAACAGCAAGCGTAGGACCCAGCAATAATATTATGTCATGGGTGGGGCGGGGGTCCTACTATGGCACAACATTACCAAAAGGTTGTCGACCCCTGACCTAAGTGATTGTTCCGGGATCAATTCGCTAAAATTCATTTACAGAAACACTTATTTAAAAGTCTTTGAGATAACACATCAACGGTCCACGTTATAACTTTATTTATTAATGTATGATTATTATTTTACAAAAATGAGATTCAGAGCCATGCATTAGAAATCTTTAACTTAACCATTGAAACATTTGCGAATAGTTTTCTAGAAAGGAATGAAAAGTTCTAATGGAGGATCACATGACATAGCACATTCACACCACAACTTTAAAATCTCAGCTTTTCCCCAAAATCACTCACAACTGAATTTTAATATTTAAAATTAGATTATATATATATAACAAAGTATACAATGGCTTAGAAAAACATGTGATAGGAATGTGAGTTGGGTGAGGGGGGATACAAAGTCATATTATATGTTTACAGTGAAATTGCTTAAGTCTTCGGTTTGAGACCGCACCGATATGACAAGAATACAAGTTAGAGGACACCAGTTAAAAGACAGCAATATTTAACATGAATCCTACAGTAACGCCGAGCCACACCAGGAAAAAGCAAACAAAGGAGACCAAATCGATGTGTTTCCCGATAAGTTTGTACTTGTTTACGGTTGTCTTTTCCTTGGACGGGGCCTTGACCTTGTTGCTTTCCTTGTCAGACGAATACGGCGGCAGATCCGATTCGCATGACTCAACTGACGCCAAACTTTCCTGTCGCTTTCTATCGTTGTCAATCTTTGTGATGGTTTCCACGGGGGAGATGGCGCGTCTGACGTGCGTCACCTTCGTGAGGACATTGCGAAATCTCTGTTTGACTTTTTGGTGCTGCTCTTCTTTCTGTGACACAGCAGACGACATGAACATTAAATTGTTGGCCAGCTCAAGTTGTTGCATATAAAAAGTTTTAAGTAATTCCAGTCTGTGAACAGCTATTTAGCCCCAGTCTGTGATGAGCTATTTTGTCCAAGTCTGTGATGAGGTGTTTAGTCCTAGTCTGTGATGAGGTATTTAGTCCTAGTCTGTGATGAGGCATTTAGTCCCAGTCTGTGATGAGCTATTTAGTCCCAGTCTGTGATGAGCTATTTAGTCCCAGTCTGTGATGAGCTATTTAGTCCCAGTCTGTGATGTTGTATTTAGTCCCATTCTGTGATGAGGTATTTAGTCCCCAGTCTGTGATGAGGTATTTAGTCCCAGTCTTTGATGAGCTTTTTGGTTCCAGTCTGTGATGAGCTATTTAGTCCCCAGTCTGTGATGAGGTACTTAGTCCCAGTCTTTGATAAGGTATTTAGTCCCAGTCTGTTACGAGGTACTTAGTCACAGTCTGTTATGAGCTATTTAATCCCAGTCTTAGATGAGGTATTTAGTTCCAGTCTGTTACGAGGTACTTAGTCCCAGTCTGTGATAAGCTATTTAGTCAGAGTCTGTGATGAGGTTTTAGTCCTAGTCTGTGATGAGGTATTTAGTCCAAGTCTGTGATGAGGTATTTAGTCCCAGTCTGTGATGAGGTATTTGGTCCCCGTCTGTGATGAGCTATTTAGTCCCAGTCTGTGATGAGCTATTTAGTCCCAGTCTTTGATGAGCTATTTAGTACCAGTCTGTGATGAGGTATTTAGTCCCAGTCTGTGATAAGCTAATTAGTCCCAGTCTGTGATGAGGTGTTTAGTCCTAGTCTGTGATGAGGTATTTAGTCTCATTCTGCGATGAGGTATTTAGTCCTAGTCTGTGATGAGCTATTTAGTCCCAGTCTGTGATGAGGTATTTAGTCCCCAGTCTGTGATGAGGTACTTAGTCCCAGTCTTTGATAAGGTATTTAGTCCCAGTCTGTTACGAGGTACTTAGTCACAGTCTGTTATGAGCTATTTAATCCCAGTCTTAGATGAGGTATTTAGTCCCAGTCTGTTACGAGGTACTTAGTCCCAGTCTGTGATGAAGTATTTAGTCCCAGTCTGTGATAAGCTATTTAGTCAGAGTCTGTGATGAGGTTTTAGTCCTAGTCTGTGATGAGGTATTTAGTCCAAGTCTGTGATGAGGTATTTAGTCCCAGTCTGTGATGAGGTATTTAGTCCCAGTCTGTGATGAGCTATTTAGTCCCAGTCTGTGATGAGCTATTTAGTCCCAGTCTTTGATGAGCTATTTAGTCCCAGTCTGTGATGAGGTATTTAGTCCCAGTCTGTGATAAGCTATTTAGTCCCAGTCTGTGATGAGGTGTTTAGTCCTAGTCTGTGATGAGGTATTTAGTCCCATTCTGCGATGAGGTATTTAGTCCTAGTCTGTGATGAGGTATTTAGTCCCAGTCTGTGATGAGGTATTTAGTCCCAGTCTTTGATGAGGTATTAAGTCCCAGTCTATGATGAGGTATTTAGTCCCATTCTGTGATGAGGTATTTAGTCCCCAGTCTGTGATGAGATATTTAGTCCTAGTCTTTGATGAGCTTTTTAGTCCCAGTCTGTGATGAGCTATTTAGTCCAAAGTCTTTATTGAGGTATTTAGTCCAATTCTGTGATGAGATATTTAGTCCCCAGTCTGTGATGAGGTACTTAGCCACAGTCTTTGATGAGGTATTTAGTCCCAGTCTGTTACGAAGTACTTAGTCCCAGTCTTTGATGAGGTACTTAGTCCCAAACTGTGATGAGGTATCTAGTCCCAGTCTGTGATGAGGTATTTAGTCCCAGTCTGTGATAAGCTATTTAGTCAGAGTCTGTGATAAGGTTTTAGTCCTAGTCTGTGATGAGGTATTTAGTCCAAGTCTGTGATGAGGTATTTAGTCCCAGTCTGTGATGAGGTATTTGGTCCCAGTCTGTGATGAGCTATTAAGTCCTCAGTCTGTGATGAGGTATTTAGTCCCAGTCTTTGATGAGCTATTTAGTCCCAGTCTGTGATGAGGTATTTAGTCCCAGTCTGTGATGAGGTATTTAGTCCCAGTCTGTGATGAGGTATTTAGTCCCAGTCTGTGATGAGGTATTTAGTCCCAGTCTGTGATGAGGTATTTAGTCCCAGTCTGTGATGAGGTATTTAGTCCCAGTCTGTGATGAGGTATTTAGTCCCAGTCTGTGATGAGGTATTTAGTCCCAGTCTGTGATGAGGTATTTAGTCCCAGTCTGTGATGAGGTATTTAGTCCCAGTCTGTGATGAGGTATTTAGTCCCAGTCTGTGATGAGGTATTTAGTCCCAGTCTGTGATGAGGTATTTAGTCCCAGTCTGTGATGAGGTATTTAGTCCCAGTCTGTGATGAGGTATTTAGTCCCAGTCTGTGATGAGGTATTTAGTCCCAGTCTGTGATGAGGTATTTAGTCCCAGTCTGTGATGAGGTATTTAGTCCCAGTCTGTGATGAGGTATTTAGTCCCAGTCTGTGATGAGGTATTTAGTCCCAGTCTGTGATGAGGTATTTAGTCCCAGTCTGTGATGAGGTATTTAGTCCCAGTCTGTGATGAGGTATTTAGTCCCAGTCTGTGATGAGGTATTTAGTCCCAGTCTGTGATGAGGTATTTAGTCCCAGTCTGTGATGAGGTATTTAGTCCCAGTCTGTGATGAGGTATTTAGTCCCAGTCTGTGATGAGGTATTTAGTCCCAGTCTGTGATGAGGTATTTAGTCCCAGTCTGTGATGAGGTATTTAGTCCCAGTCTGTGATGAGGTATTTAGTCCCAGTCTGTGATGAGGTATTTAGTCCCAGTCTGTGATGAGGTATTTAGTCCCAGTCTGTGATGAGGTATTTAGTCCCAGTCTGTGATGAGGTATTTAGTCCCAGTCTGTGATGAGCTATTTAGTCCCAGTCTGTGATGAGGTATTTAGTCCCCAGTCTGTGATGAGGTACTTAGTCCCAGTCTTTGATAAGGTATTTAGTCCCAGTCTGTTACGAGGTACTTAGTCACAGTCTGTTATGAGCTATTTAATCCCAGTCTTAGATGAGGTATTTAGTCCCAGTCTGTTACGAGGTACTTAGTCCCAGTCTGTGATGAAGTATTTAGTCCCAGTCTGTGATAAGCTATTTAGTCAGAGTCTGTGATGAGGTTTTAGTCCTAGTCTGTGATGAGGTATTTAGTCCAAGTCTGTGATGAGGTATTTAGTCCCAGTCTGTGATGAGGTATTTAGTCCCAGTCTGTGATGAGCTATTTAGTCCCAGTCTGTGATGAGCTATTTAGTCCCAGTCTTTGATGAGCTATTTAGTCCCAGTCTGTGATGAGGTATTTAGTCCCAGTCTGTGATAAGCTATTTAGTCCCAGTCTGTGATGAGGTGTTTAGTCCTAGTCTGTGATGAGGTATTTAGTCCCATTCTGCGATGAGGTATTTAGTCCTAGTCTGTGATGAGGTATTTAGTCCCAGTCTGTGATTAGCTATTTAGTCCCCGTCTGTGATGAGGTATTAAGTCCCAGTCTATGATGAGGTATTTAGTCCCAGTCTGTGATGAGGTATTTAGTCCCCAGTCTGTGATGAGATATTTAGTCCTAGTCTTTGATGAGCTTTTTAGTCCCAGTCTGTGATGAGCTATTTAGTCCAAAGTCTGTATTGAGGTATTTAGTCCCATTCTGTGATGAGGTATTTAGTCCCCAGTCTGTGATGAGGTACTTAGCCACAGTCTTTGATGAGGTATTTAGTCCCAGTCTGTTACGAATTACTTAGTCCCAGTCTTTGACGAGGTACTTAGTCCCAAACTGTGATGAGGTATCTAGTCCCAGTCTTAGATGAGGTATTTAGTTCCAGTCTGTTACGAGGTACTTAGTCCCAGTCTGTGATGAGGTATTTAGTCCCAGTCTTTGATAAGCTATTTAGTCAGAGTCTGTGATGAGGTTTTAGTCCTAGTCTGTGATGAGGTATTTAGTCCAAGTCTGTGATGAGGTATTTAGTCCCCGTCTGTGATGAGGTATTTGGTCCCAGTCTGTGATGAGCTATTAAGTCCTCAGTCTGTGATGAGGTATTTAGTCCCAGTCTTTGATGAGCTATTTAGTCCCAGTCTGTGATGAGGTATTTAGTCCTAGTCTGTGATGAGGTATTTAGTCCCAGTCTGTGATGAGGTATTTAGTCCCCAGTCTGTGATGAGGTACTTAGTCCCAGTCTTTGATAAGGTATTTAGTCCCAGTCTGTTACGAGGTACTTAGTCACAGTCTGTTATGAGCTATTTAATCCCAGTCTTAGATGAGGTATTTAGTCCCAGTCTGTTACGAAGTACTTAGTCCCAGTCTGTGATGAGGTATTTAGTCCCAGTCTGTGATAAGCTATTTAGTCAGAGTCTGTGATGAGGTTTTAGTCCTAGTCTGTGATGAGGTATTTAGTTCAAGTCTATGATGAGGTATTTAGTCCCAGTCTGTGATGAGCTATTTAATCCCAGTCTTAGATGAGGTATTTAGTCCCAGTCTGTTACGAGGTACTTAGTCCCAGTCTGTGATGAAGTATTTAGTCCCAGTCTGTGATAAGCTATTTAGTCAGAGTCTGTGATGAGGTTTTAGTCCTAGTCTGTGATGAGGTATTTAGTCCAAGTCTGTGATGAGGTATTTAGTCCCAGTCTGTGATGAGGTATTTAGTCCCAGTCTGTGATGAGCTATTTAGTCCCAGTCTGTGATGAGCTATTTAGTCCCCGTCTGTGATGAGGTATTAAGTCCCAGTCTATGATGAGGTATTTAGTCCCATTCTGTGATGAGGTATTTAGTCCCCAGTCTGTCATGAAGTATTTAGTCCTAGTCTTTGATGAGCTTTTTAGTCCCAGTCTCTGATGAGCTATTTAGTCCAAAGTCTGTATTGAGGTATTTAGTCCCATTCTGTGATGAGGTATTTAGTCCCCAGTCTGTGATGAGGTACTTAGCCCCAGTCTTTGATGAGGTATTTAGTCCCAGTCTGTTACGAAGTACTTAGTCCCAGTCTTTG